AATTAACAAATTTTTGGCAGGAAGCAAAAACCACTTGCTATTATGAGAGATTTTTTAGATAATTCTAAAGAAGCAACACTTGGAAAACACTGTGATTGCTCCGATTCCTTCATGCTAAATGCGATCCACATGACCTCAACTATATTTATTCGACATTCATTACTATAAAGATAGCTAGTAGATAGCTAGTTGTTTTTCTTTCCTGTGAATTTTAACTTTTTGAAATGGACCACTGAATAGCGCTAATGTGTGTTCCGCGCCAACTGACCGACTGCACTGCGTTTGACGCAATGCGAGAAGTATTCCTCCAGTCTTGCAGGCGCTAATATGCGTTTAACGCTGGTCGCACTGTGTTTGGCGCGATTAATCAAACTCGCGTTGGAATAAACGCGGCATCGAATAATGGGGCCTAAAAAACTCAAGTTGTCTTCCGACGCTGTACGGACATTCCAGCGTTTCCTCGTTTCTCCCGATGGCATATATTTTCCGAGAAAAGTTAAGAAAGTTCTTTACGTTCGTCTTTTTAGATTGAATGGACCAATAAACGAGGTACGAATTTAAGCATTCTGATTCACGTTTCCTAACCAGAATTTCAGGTCGAAGATGACGCTCGCATCAAAAATTACTGAAATCAACTCCTAAGTAAGATATCAAATTTTTCATTTTACATTGGTCACGGGAAATTTGAATTGCCCAGTCACAAGATACTCAATACTCTACATGAGTCCAATCGCGCACCACAACGGTTTTGGCAAGTTTCTCAATCGAGCTTGTTTCATTTCTCAACCTGTTTGTCCAAACTATATACAGCTTGGTATACGGCTGAGCCAAAGCTTCAAGATTGCCAAATTTATATATCACAAAGACTGTCATGGTAGCGTTTATTGCGCGATTTGACGCACTTAGACCATTGTGTTTTCATGAACGAGAGATTTAAATTCATGCGAAAAAAAAAACATGAAATGTCTTGGATAATAGTTAATTTCAGTAATTTTCGTTGCGTAAATCGCGCTTAACGTGACATTTTGGTTAAGAAATATAAATCGGAATGCTTAACCTCGTACCTTGTCTAGTGATCGATTGTAATGGCTGACTCAATATTTCTAAGGTAAAATTATGAAAAATGATCGAAGGGGGCCGTAACCACACGGGGGCTTGAACCCTCCTATTTGCTAATTTCTTTGCCCATCCAGTAGCAATTTTCCAACCTTCACCCCCTTTCAGTTCATCCAACTTTAGAGTGCACTATGCCCCCTCTTCTTTTAGATTTTGTTTTAAAACCTCACACTTGCAATTTATGATACGGCCATGGTCGAATCATAGAACCTTGCACAAAATAGTCGATCTCGAAACTCAGTCTGATCATCTGATCATCATTTTTTAAGGGTTTGTTAATATTTACTTCCCGATTACGGGATGGATTGAAAACTCCCCTACTGCCGTCAAAAATAAAAACGCCGTATCTTCATTCAATATTTTTCAATTTTTCCCGACGAAATGCTATTTTACGAGAAAACAAACGAATGTTCATCCTTCGAGTTTTTTAGTCTACTTTGGCATGCCATTGAAAACTCAAAATGAAAAAACGAAGCCTTATGACAGTTGGATTTTCTCGTGATAAAACAATGTGCGTGGAAGAAAAATTTATAATTTGAAATCGAGTTACGGCGTTTTTATTTTGGACGGCAGCACGGAAGGAATAATGAGAGGACATCCTATAAAAATGCTCCATCTTAGGAGCGGTATTTTTTAGGAATATGATTTTGTTCTTAAAGTTTTAAAGACACACTTTTTAGGAATTTCAGAAACACTGATAAGTCTTGAAAATAATGTATCGTTGCCACTTTGTTGTTTCATGATTACTCAACTTGTTTAAGTCATTGCAATTGACGGATTACATATACACAATTTACGAAACCGAATATTCATAGATTTACATTGTTAGAACAACAGTCATGTGAGGAAAACGATACAGACAGGAGTTGTGTTTTTCCAAAGTTTCCTTGGTGTAGCCTGACATTGATTCGTAGCTTAGTATATAACAGTAAGAACATTTGACCCGCGTTTAGCAGAAAGGAACCAAGGCACATCAGCTATCACCAAATTTAACAGGGTAATTTAAATATTTATAAGAGAACGTTTGTGCTGATTCTTTGGAGACTTTTGAGGAATTTGCTTCGCACGATGCTGAGAATTTACTGTTTGCTCGCAAAACCGCACAACCATTTTCATGTAAATTATTAAATTCCCCAAATAAATTTGGCAATAGTTGATGTGCCTTGGTTCCTTTCCGCTTAACGCGGTCCATTTAGACCCCTAAATATGAGTCCAAAAATTTTCGCTACCCCAAAGTCCTGAGAGGGACTTACAACCTCCTAGGTCACCTAAGAAACCACTTATACCGGTAATTTCGAATGCCTATTGAAAGGTATTTATTTTTTTTGGTCTCTTTTTGCGCAGTATAGTCCAAATTTGATTATGGCTCGCCATCACGTCACTCACACGAGGATAATTTTCATTAATATTAGAGTTGACACTCTGCATTTATCATCATTTTAGGCTGTTTGACCCCTGGAAGAGTCATTTTTCGTCATGAAATGTTGAGATCTTCCGAGCTCTTCCTTTTGACAGTCGGTATGTAGGTAATAGTGTTTTAATGAGCCCATCGTTTTTAAATTTTCATTGAATTCCAGGCCTGTCCACTTTGGTAAACATATTTAGACCATACATCTTTGAGGTAAGTTCACTAAAATTTTTATGTTAATTCGGTAATATTTGGATAAGCAACTAAATCCTACGAGAGAATCAGATATTGTAGAAACTCAGCACTTTTGTTTCCCGAATTTTGCTTTCACACGTAGAAAGAGGTATAATTCGTGCTTTCATTGAGGTGGACGATGGAACAGACAGTTGAGGGGCTGTGGGGAACCAAATAGTTATTGAGTCGGGCGGATCATACATACGGATATTTTGCGCATGAGAAATTAAACTGGCGCGCAATCAAAATCTGTCTCCCTAGATGACGTTTGCAATTTATGTCATCTAATTCACACTTATGCTTTTGGTGAGTATGTAGTGATTATCGAGGCAAAATTTCCTAAAAAAGGCAACGCCCTTTTGTTTTATGCACAAATGTGGAACGTTTGGACAAAATTATCGTTACTACCCACGGTTACAAATAATGCGTCCGCGTGCAACGTCGCAAAGCACCGCTAATGTTTTCAACCATTTACCAAGAGTTTCTCTGGAGATCTCCATGGAATTTCTTTCTCACATTCAAGGATATGTAAAGAAAAGTCTTTAGTAAAAAATATTGGGGATCGTTCATGATTTGATCCTGATCTGACCCTTTCACTCAACCCAAATTTGGAGCCAATCATGAACAGACTACCACTCATTTTACATGCAAGGATTCCAGGAAACAATTTAATTACCTAATCTTCTTTTTTAAATATAAAACACGATCGGGGATTTTGATTCATTGCAATGATGAAATGGAATTTTCTGAGCAATTGAAATCCTAAATCACTCAGAGATAAGTCTGGAAAAATAGATTGATAGCCATATTATACTCTTTGTTCGTTTGCTTGTTTGTTTGTTTGTTTATTTGTTTAATTGTTTGTTTGTTTGTTTTTTAGTTTGTTTATTTGTTTGTATTTTGTTTGTTCCACTTTTCCTTTTCTTTTTTTTAAATCAAACGGGCTAAAAATAAAGGAAACCACACAAACTGGTCAGAATAAGTTATTATTTATTAAAAAAATAAATCTTGCGCGTAACAAAAGAATAATTGCCGCTGTTATGATGAGAATCTGATGGAGTACCAAAATCTTTTTTGAGCTGTCCATTTTCATCTTGTGAATTATAATATTACTCTTAGATTACAAAACGTATACATAGTTTATTACTTAATTGTTACCGAGAAATCAATCTATGAAAATCCTCCTTTTTAGATAGATTTGGAAGCTGAATAATAATAATAAAAAAAAACGGCTCCATAAAAATGAAGTATGCGAACTGATTTCATGCAATTTACAATAAAAAGGAAAAGGGAGGGGGGAAACATGAGCAAACTTGAGGTAAAATACGACATTAAAATGTCAATAGCAATGAAAAATCACATCACTTAAAAAAAAAAAAAAAAAAAAAAAAAAAAAAAAAAAAAAAAAAAAAAAAAAAAAAAAAA